ACTGTTTTGTATAAGTGTTTTACTAAGTGCTGTTTTGTGTAATCCTTCAACTAAGATCAGTTTTGTGCAAGTTTTCCACTAAGAACTGTTTTGTATAAGTGTTTTACTAAGTGCTGTTTTGTGTAATCCTTCAACTAAGATCAGTTTTGTGCAAGTTTTCCACTAAGAACCAACACTAAGAGCTGTTTGTATAAGTGTTTTACTAAGTGCTGTTTTGTGTAGTCCTTCTACTAAGATCAGTTTTGTGTAAGTTTTCCACTAAGAGCTGTTTATATAAGTGTTTTACTAAGTGCTGTTTTGTGTAATCCTTCTACTAAGATCAGTTTAACACTAAGAGCTGTTTGTATAAGTGAGTCTGAATTATAAATACTTAACTGTAACATTTATTTTATATTACCTTTATTTTTACCATTCTTCAAATTTAACTTTATTGTTCTTCGCCGGTGGAAAATTGGTGAAATTTATCAAGACAGATTCTTCAATATTGTAAATATATTTAACATACAACGAATCAAACCATTCCAAATCAAATGTGTTTTTTTTAATTGAATGTATTTAACATGAAATAAGACTCTTGGTCATGCTTCGTTGCGGAATCATTGTGCAAAAGAGCGAAATGGTAGAAATTGACTTGCAAATTAAAGGATTGATGGAGACCAGATGTGAGGTTATTTCTTCTGCGCGTTCGTTTTGGAGCTGTGGAGTCATGAAATATTCATGCGTAGTTAATTGAGAGGGAAATCATCAAGTCCTTTAAATCTCAGTGGATACCAATTTTTATTCGACAGAACAATTCCAGTTTGCTTCACTTAAAGGACCCGGTTAAAAGCAGTTATTATTTCGTCTTATGTCTTTCTAACTTCCACCACGTTGGTTGAGTCTTTTATAAATCTAACTACACTACTCAAAAAAGCTTACTCTACACAAAGAAAAGCTCCCATCTGGGTAAAAAAAAAACGGTCGAATTTTGTTTCTCAAAATTTTCAACGTTACTAAACAATTAATGTCCAATTATTTTTAACATGCATGATTGTAATGTTCTATATTATAAAGCAAAATATGATCCGGCTTTAATCTTTGAAGTTATCTGTGTGTTAGGTATTACTTTTTACAGCCCACAAAATAGTCTACACTGTTCAAACTAGTAAAGGATACTCGATTTTATAATATGGTAGTTATTATCACGTGTCTCTTCTGTATGAAGTAGATCACCAAAAAATAGCACTGATGATGCATGATTAAAACCAGAAGAATACTTGTTTAATGTAGTTGGATGAGGCGAGCATGAAACCCACTTCATTCAGTCAACTATTCTTTTTCAATGAATTTATTTGTTATTACCCATTAAATTATGCTGACCTTTACCAGCACAAAGGATTGTACGTTATTATCTATATAATTTCCTAGAAGGTCTGGAAATCTGAAAGACTTTTAATGTTCACACAAAACTTTCACCACTGCTAAACGCGTCGAGGTGGATCTAGTCACATGTTTTTCCAGATAACTATAAGTGCGACAGATATGTAACAATAATATTGCTCAGCATTGTTGCCTCATTGAACGTGCTTTTGTCGCCATGGTAGTGCATATCAAGGTTGGCATTGTTTTTTTGTTTTTTTTTCTAACCAGTTGCAGCTGCGAACATCTGATTCAAGTTCAGATCAGGTATCCCATGATTGCTGCAAGTCAGAATAGACAGACTGCCGCATTTGATTGTGTCGTGGATGATGGTTAGCTTTGTGCAGGTGTCCGAACACCTTCAATTTCTACTAACGACATTTTGAAACACGTGAAGCCAACTTCAAACAACTTGCTCTGATTGGCTGAGTAACACTTCTTCCATGACATGAGTTAAACATCCAAATGTTTCCTCTGATTCTTTAATCTCTATAGTACACTTCAAAGTGACAGTTAACACATAGCTGCATGAGATCAATGCATTTGCATTTGACATCATGCGATGTCATCACCAGATTCCTCATTTTCATTACGATAAACTGGGAAAGTTTTATTTTATTTTTTGCCGTGTCATAACTACAAAATCATTGCACGTTTGATTTATTTTTTAATCGGCTTCATTAGTGTAGTTTAACAATCATTATAATTTAAATATATGTCAAAAGCAATTCACAAAATATTTTGGGTATAGTAATACCTTCGGTCTTGGATTTTATTAAATCTTTACATGAACGATATTTAAAGGTTGATACTGTTTAAACTTTATTTGTTCACAACTCCAAACGTAGATGATGTTTGTA